CTTCTTTTTCTATAAATACCACACCCTCGCCTTCTCATAACACCATCGCAGAGGAAGAAACATTCTCTAAACGTCAAAAAATAAATCTTATCTTTCCCTTTTAACTCAAAACCCTAATTTCCCCAAATGGCTCACTTTGCTCATAACATTCGTCCGGCGTCATCAACACGTCCCGAGTACTGGATGCACTGATACCTGCTTGACCTCCAGCGAAACCCGTCGCCCATATACTCCGCCGGGGTGGAGGCAGAGGACGTGTATATGTGGGCGGCGACCATCACCGGTCCGCCGGGAACTCCCTACGAAGGGGGTGTCTTCTTTCTCCGCATCATCTTCCCTTCGGATTTCCCTTGGAAGCCACCGAAGGTGCACTTCCGGACCCCCATCTTCCACCCCAATGCGAGCCATCGTGGCAACATCTTCCATCCAATGCTCATGCCTGATACATGGTGCACGCGACATCTGTGGCCCAGATGCTATTGCATCCGCTGGTGGCAGAAGGCGACGTCGTGAGGGAGGAGGTGGCGGTGATGTACCGGGAAGACAGGGCAAGTTACGAGGAACTCGCACATAGCTTCACCAAGATCCACGCCATGGATGGTTAACATAACATCCATGGCGGAAAAGACTCTAAATAATTGTTTTTTTTAATGTTTTTTTAAGTTTTCGTTGAACTTATTATTATGTTTTCTGTATGTTTATATTATGCTTTTATTTGGTTATTAATATTATTATGTTTTTTTTGTGATTAATGGAAATATTTCACAAACTTTTTAATAACCTACATGCAACCCTAACTTCTGATAAGACTTGGTAGTTGGACCAGTTTTACATCGAGAATCCGCACTCATTTATAGCCCCATTTATACTGGTTACGCGTGAAGACTTCATCAAGCAGACGCCTTTTTTTTTATTCATAATGGATAAGCATAAATCACGGGAATTTATTATCTTATTTAAAGTAATTATTCTTTAAAAATATCTTTTTAAAATAACTGAGGTTAAACCAAAAATTACAAACGAAAATATCCAAAATTCTAAAATCAAAAACTGAAAACCTAAACCCAAATGTGAAAAACTGAATACAAAAACATACATCGTCTTTGCATACTACGAAGCCTAATTTTGTTCAGGAAAAAAAAAACAAGATTACAAGTATAAGCATGAGCAATCAACGCCAATCAACGCTTTATACTTGTAATCATGTTTTTCTTGCCTGAACAAAGGTTAAACCTTGTATTTCCCAGTCTGCAACATCAGGTGACCAAACTCGCTGACCAAACTCTGACTCGCTGATCTGACTGTTCATCAAGTGAAATACCCTTCCTTCTTGCTTTTATGGTGTAAGTATGATGGGTATTTCATCTGATGAAGAGTCTGAGATCAGCGAGTAAGAGATTGATGATTATTTTCAGGTTTATGTGTTTTTGAAGGACGACATTTCTCCAGGGTAAGATCTGACTCGCTGATCTGACTCCTCATCTGATGAAATACCAATCCTTCTTGCTTTTAAGGTGTACGATGGATATTTCATCTGATGAAGAGTCTGAGATCAGCGAGTAAGATATTGATGATTATTTTAGGGTTTGTGTGTTTTTAAAGGACGACGTTTCTCCAGGGTAAGATCAGGAATATATATATATATATATATATAGTCAAGGAGAGGATGAGTAAAAGAAGCAGTTAGATTCAATAAATAAATTGTTTTTCGAGTAGTCGTGTTTCAATGAATTTTATAATCCCATTTTAAATAGATTAATGATAATAACCAACGCCTCAATTTTCCTTTAATACCCCACTACTCATTGCATTTCTTTCATTTCATTTAATTCATTGTAACATATATTTATTCTTGACTTGTCAGAAACCCTAATTTTAAATAACTGTCTGTTCATCAAGTTAACTCTCTCAAAATGGCACGGCCGCATCTTCTTGAGATATGTTTTTGTTTTCTTATTTTGTACTTTTGTTTTATTTATTTTGATATTTTCACTTAATTTGTATTTGCAATGATATCTCTGTTATTCACTTTTCCAACAATAATTATTATTTGGAATATAATTTTTTATTTTATTTCAATACATTAATAATAATAAATGATATCGTTTACCAGGCTTGGTAGTTGTACCAGTCTTACATTATAATTGTAACGCGTACATGCGTCACCAACCACCATCCACTTATCCTTAAATACCCTAGTCTCCTTCTCATTTCATCACCCCAACCTTTCATTTCTTTTTAGAAAAAACCGCTTACTTATCCTTCTTGATAGGAAACCCTAAGATCGTACAGAAAGTGGTTGATGAGAAGATGAGCAACTTAGGAGACTGAGCGAAGAGTTTGGAGGAAAAATCCAAACACCAGCCTCCTAAGTTGTTTATCTTTTTCATCCACCACTTCCTGCACCATCTTAGTAAGGATCCACTCAGATCGCCTTGTAATTTAGGTAAGTATTACGAATCTAATTCTTTAATATGTGAAATAACCGTACTATTTGGTATAATTCGGCCCAACTACGTGTAACTTTGGAAACCCTTAAAATCTGATACTATTTGGTATAATTCGGCCCAACTACGTGTAACTTTGGGAACCCTTAAAATCTGGTACTATTTGGTATAATTCGGCCCAACTACGAGTAACTTTGGGAATCCTAAAAATCTGGTACTAATTGGTATAATTCGGCCCAACTACGTGTAACTTTGGGAACCCATTAAATCTGGTACTAATTAGTATAATTCGGCCCAACTACGTGTAACTTTGGGAATCCTAAAAACCTGGCACTAATTGGTATAATTCGGTCCAACTACGTGTAACTTTGAGAACCCATAAAATCTTGTACTAATTGGTATAATTCGGCCCAACTACGTGTAACTTTGGGAACCCATAAAATCTGGCACTATTTTGTATAATTCGGCCCAACTACGTGTAACTTTGGGAACCCATAAAATCTGGTACTATTTGGTATAATTCGGCCAAACTACGTGCAAATTCTTGAAATTAATTTATCGGTTACGTGGTAAAGGCGGTCGATAAGCTTCTTGTTTCTCTTCTCGTCGCTGTAGGTCAGGTCCATAGTCGCTGTAGCAAAGGAAGTTCACAAATTTGAAGAGACAGAGAGGAATGTCCCAAGAGAGAGAGACAGAATAGAAATATGTGAGATGAAATTCAAAATGGGGGGAAGTGGGGGGAAGTTCGAGTTTTGCTGAATTTGGGTATTTGGGGGGAATTCAAATTTGAATTATATTACAACTGAGAAAAAGGGAAATATAATATTATTTAAGTATTACACGCAGAAAATGGGGCCGTCCCTCACGTGTGGAATTCGCTCACGTGCCGTCACCAATAGCTAATATCCAATAATGCGTAGACACATGTCATTTCTTCATATGAGGTTTGATACGTTTTTGTACGTAGTATGATAGTTATACACACTCTCAAGTAGTTGTACATTTCCGATTTTAACCAAAAAACTAGTTATACTTATATTAAATATGTAATTATGCAGTTGAACTTTTCACAAGTACTACTTAATTTGTTGCCCCATCATGTTCATGTAATCAGATTTCGTTTTCGCTTTTTTACGTTCTGTTCGATGCCTTATGTGGTTACTCATTGTGAACTCTTCATAGAACTATGATGTGTATTATGAGAAAACTTGTTTCGAAGTTCAAAGATTTATAAATTGCTTATTTTGGCTAGTTTAAATGTTAATCATAACATAACTATGCATACAATCTACGAGAATGTAATCGATTTCATATAATTTGGTGTATATGAAATCGATTTCATGGTTATTGTAATTTGAATTTGGTTTACCGAACCGAGAAATACTGAAACCTAGAACCAAAACAGAATGTATTCATATATTTTAATAATAGATTAACTTAGAATGTCTGAAAAAGGTCATGTCTGATAAAGGTATTGTCATCTACTCCACTTACGGTGTCTGGCTCACAACCTTTTATCTGATAAAGTAACTATGCATACAATCTACAAGAATGTAATCGATTTCATATAATTTGGTGTATATGAAATCGATTTCATGGTTATTGTAATTTGAAATTGGTTTACCGAACCGAGAAATACTGAAACCTAGAACCAAAACAGAATGTATTCATATATTTTAATAATATATTAACTTAGAATGTCTGAAAAATGTCATGTCTGATAAAGGTATAGTCATTTACTCCACTTACGGTGTTTGGCTCACAACCCTTTATCTGATAAAGTAAAAAGTAACTGACTGTAACTGATACGTTTCTATTTCTCACGGAAGCTTATTTTCCGATGAAATGAAACAGAACATTCTCACTCGAATGAACACATAGAATTTTCTTTATTTTTAGGACGAGAGAACAAGCAAACCCAAAACCAAGAGCTGAAAATAGTTGAACATAGTTGTACCAAGTTATTCATACTATTACAAATTAAAATGGTTAACTATTGTGGAGTGAGAACATACTTGTAACGTTTTTCTCCAGAAGTTCTTTTTTTCCCTTTAAAAAATGCTTCTGATTTTTTATTTTTTATTTTTTTATTTTTTTATCCATTACAAATTTGTAATATGTTCCGTTATTTCACCACATTTCAATTTTCAAAAACATATTAATCCATATTTGAAGATATCTCTCTCTCTCTCTCTCTATCTATTCAAATTTCAAAAACCCTCTCTTTTAAGATTTCGTCAGAATGACAAACAACGTGATTTTCCAGCTACGAGATGTGTTGATTGATATATTCGTAAGGGTAGGGAGAGAGTCTGCTGCTGATGCTGTTTCATTTGTTGTACGTCGAAGGTTCTAAGCCAGATGTTGAAAGATCCAGAAGTCATCAAGGTGTTGAACCTGTCTGAATTCGTTAAGCACCCCCGTTTATTTGCTTAACTACGTATTACTATGAACTATTTACTATGAAATGAAACAGAGCATTCTCACGTAGTTGTACCAATTTATTCTCACATAGTTGTACCAATTTATTAATAAGCTTACAAATTAAATTTGTCATCTGTCCTGAGTACTAGATCCACCCTGAGTATTACCCTCAGGACTACTGGCATTGAAATATTGCCACCAGCCTCCACCATGAGTATTACCATGCGCATTCCCTTCAGGATTACTGGCATTGAAATTTGGATCCCTGCCTTCATTCCCCTGAGTATTACCATGCGCATTCCCGACTCCATCCTCAGTATTACCCTGTCTTTTCTTACGCTTATTACTTGGCCTTGGTCCACGCTCTCCAACCGATGCAAATCTTCTCTCTTGCCTTCTTCCAGCTTTTTTCGGGACCTCAGGTGGTTTTGGGGCAGTCTTCTTCTTGATATCATCTGGAATTACCCATTGTGAACGATGAGGAACAGGGTATACCGTCCTGGCATATGCAAGTGCCCACAATTCCGTAGTATAATACTTCAAGCACAAATCATACGAGTGGATGTCCTCACTTCTATCTTCCCTGGCCATAAAAATTCTCACTGCGGCAAGTGCATGGTCGCAAGGATATTTGTCTATATCAAACCATCTGCATGAACAAGATTTGGTTTTCAAGTTCACCAGATAAGTCTTCCCATCTCCACCAACCACAGCGTATTCAAGCAGAAACGAGTTCAGCTCAGTCACATTTAGGGACTGAGCAATTTCAACTCTCCCGTGTAAGACATTTTCGACATAAGGAACCAGTTTATGTGCTCCAGGTGCTGTAGCAGCGTCCTTCCTATGTTTGTTACACCACTCAGATACCTTTGACAAGATGGCATCCATCATAGGAAATAAAGCATACTTCCTCGCATCATCAAACACACTGTTTCATAGACTCTACACAGTTACTAGTGTCGATGTTGTACCTTTCTCCTGGAAAATAACACCTTGCCCATTTTTCCTCAAGCAAACTATGCATCCGGATACCTTTCTCCCAGTTGACCAGAAGCCACAAGAAACTCAGCCTCTGTATACTTCCTCACAACTTCCATGAACTTGCCTAGAACTAACTCTTTCTCTCTCCGAACGTTCTTTTTCACATTCTGGGCCAAATGATAAATGCAATAACCATGCTTAGCTTGCGGGTACACATCCCTTATTGCATTAATCAGACTTACATTCTTGTCAGAAACAAACACCAATTCAGAACTGTCAGGTATACGGGTTTTAAGTTTAGTGAGGAACCAGTTCTAACTATCATTATTTTCCCCATCAACTACCCCAAAAGAAAGGGGATAATGGTGATGATTCGGATCCTTAGCTGTTGCAAATACAAGGCATCCACCAAATCCATTCTTCAAAAAAATTGCATCAACAATTATCACTTTCCTCATTGCCGCAAACCCTTCTATGGTAGGACTCAGAGCGACAAATAGGTACTTGAATCTTCCTAACTCATCCACTTCAACACTTGATGTCGTACTAGGATTAAACTGCTCTATCATGTACAAATACGAATGCAGATGCTCGAAACTCTCTTCTGGAGTACCACGAACATAACTTATAGCTTTCTGTCTGCCTCTCCATGCCGTAGAGTATGATACCTCCACACGACCTCTAGTTTGAACCAAAGCCATGATATCTCTAGGAGGTGGTGGTTTTAATCAACCTGGGTAAGTTTTACTAACAACGCCTGCAACGACCCAGGTGTGCCTTTCCTTCGTTTGCTGCTCGTACACGCAGAAGCCCGAGAGCAAGAATGCATTTTCCTATATACTCTAACCGTGAAAATATGTGACTGAGCTGTCTTAGCGGCAGTTATATACCAGTTACATCCAGTTTCAGCTTGACCGCATTTCACATAGTATCGTTTCTTATCAGACTTGTGTACAGTGATGCCAAAACAATGTTTATGAGAACCTCTGTAAACTAAATCTATTAGCTCCTTCTTACAGCTAAACTCTGCACCAACTCTCAGTTTCAAACCATCTGCCCATTCACGTTGAATACGTTGTTCTTCTACACAGTCTGGAGGATCAACAATATCAAGCATTCGATATGTTTGACTTATGTCATCTTGATCTCTACCGTTTTCCTCATTCTCACGAGATAGATTAACACTTTCATCATTCCCCATTACTGGCACATGTTGTTGTTCTGTTGAACCGTTTCCTGCGTACATAACAATAGCACCATCATTAAACTCAGCATTGCCGACAAAAACGCCATCACTCGCTATATCATTAGCTGCGCTCACCTCCTTGACATTCACTACAACATGACTTACCCTCTCTACACGTGAAACTTGCTCCGCCACCTCAGACACTCCTTCTACATTGATGACCTCTACATACAAGACACTTCTGTGTCCCTCATTATCAAACGACGTCAGATAGATACCGAGATCATCATCATCCAAAATATACCACTGTTTCTTCGTTTGCACTACTACTGGAATATAACTCAGTTTAAACTTTGTGGATGATTCTCCTATCCCAACCTTCTTGCATATCCTACCCACTAAATCGGAATAGCTTATTTCCTCTAAGCCTGATGTCTTAAACATTATACCGTACATGGAACCTTCTCTTGAAATCCATTTATCATCGGTACATGAATAAAGTCCTCCATAATCAAACAATATGTTTGTTATCATTGTGTTCTGAAAAAAAAAATTATATACTTAACTCATTTACCATTTGTTCCGAGTTATACGAAAACTACTACTATAACCAAATTGTCCCCCAGTTATAATCGGCGAATTTGGTGTACAAACTAAATCTCATTACGATTAAACCTCACCAGTCAATTAAAAGAGCATATGCGACCCAATGTGAATAAAAAAATTAACTCTCCCCATTCTGAATTGCCCTATTTTGTAAATCGAAATTATATCCAAAACTCAATTGTTCCTGGGCAAAATAATCATTTGGCGACTTCACAAGAAAATACAGACGCCGAGGATGAAGAAAAACTTACCTCGTCCTTCGGCGTTGGAATGGAAGAGTAAAAGCCCCGTCTAATTTCTCGAAGAGATTGAGGAGATGTTGCATGAAAACCCAGTTTTCTGATTTCAGCAAACCCAGGAAAGTAGAATAAGACCAAGATCGACCAGATTTCTGATTGGCTTAAAATTTGGTCCGAAATGTTTTAATTGACTGAAACTTCCCTATTTCCTATTGGTCGACATTTCCTTCCAACACTTTTGATTGGTTGAAACTAATATTTTTGATTGGTTGAAATTATCATGAATCCCAATTATTCATTTTAGTTATTGCCCGACCAATATGAGGACTGGGCTTCTTGTTGGGCTTTTCCATTAATGGAATTGTCAAGAAAAAAGGCAATATGGGGATAACAAGTTTCATTGAAATGTTTTTATTGGCTGAAATTTCCTTCTTTCTTATTGGTTGACAATTCCCACCAAGACTTATGATTGGCTGAACATTCTTAATTCTCATTAGTCGATTATTCATTTTCCTAATCCACAGTTAAGAGTAATATGGGGATAACACATTTCATTAAAATGAAGGGGGATCACCGCTGGTATGAGAGAATAACTTGGGCAGAGTAGAATAAATCATCACTACTTACTGGCAAACGAGAATTTCTCCCCTCCAATCTCTACCATATTACAAGTCAAGAACGGCGTCAGGATCTGGCGATATTACAATTACCCTTAGTTTTGAAATTGGGCCTGACTTATTGACGGATATTGAAACTGGCCCATTTGAAACTGAAAGTATGCCATACTTTTGAGTTTTTATTTATTTATTTTCTATTTAAAAGTGAAATTTATTACAAAATACGAGAACAAATACAAATGTAATTTTTTAACTGATAATCTATCTGTTCTACAAAAATCACCACAGATTTGAACATGATGAATGACTGATACATTCATATCATTGCATGTTTAAGATGTATTTTGGTCCAAGATATAGAGTCTCATGCATACATTTTAGATAGATTCTTCATGTTTTATCTTTGTTTTAGAGTTTGAAAACTTTGCATTAGGTCCAAATGATTCATGCATGTTTGGTATGTCAATTAGGTGCTTTGGAGGTCATTTGGAGTGGAAAACATGGAATCAGGTGAAGAAATGTTAAAAGAATGTGAAGAAATGGTGAAAAGAGGCATTTGGAGATTATCGGCCAAACTGGTGTACCGCGGGAAGGATTTCTCAGGCAAAAACCTTACCGCAGGTAGCAAGACTCGGCTAAAACGTCTACCGCGCGATACATGCTTGCCGGCCAAAAGTTCCTGCTCGCTGATACACTTCAAAGATGCCTTTACCGGAAGCCTTCCCGTCCAGATCAGTTTCCGGGGTCTTCAGCAAAGCGCACGAGGATTGAATCAAGGTTCTAGAACAGTTGGAAATAATGGATTTGGAACAGTGAGCTGAAAGATATGGCCAACAGAACATGAACTTCGCATCCATTCTGGACCGATCCGATACGCCTCAAAGATCACCCAAGACGATGCTTTTCCCTTCCGATCCAGGTTCTGGAGACTCCATCAACATTTAAGAGCTTCGAGTCATCTTTCCATAACGCTTAAAATCATCTCATTTGAAGTGTTGAGTTGGGAGATATTGCAGTCGGGAGACAGACATGTTCTACAGCAAGAAACCTGAACCTCCCAAGCCAATGCAAAGATCCATTTACCGGAAGGCATTGATCATCCCAGATTCACCCAAGTCCTTCATTAAATTTTCAGGAAATTGAGCTTCCTTCACTCTGGAGTTTGTCCCGAGTCGTTTAGACTCATATCTCACAAGTTATGCTAGCTCAAGTGCAAGTTGGTCCAAGAAAATGAGAAATGCTGCGACATAGCTTTGCGACTGGACTGACTCGCAGCAAAGAATGTTTAACTCTGGGAGCAAGCTGCGACTTGAATTATGCGGGTGAGGTTACTCGGATCAGGGTAAGAATTTCCAAAGCTCAAAATATTCTAAGTCCAGAATAGGATGCGACATGGCAGTACGAGTGAAGAAGGAGATGAACCATGTCGCACCCACACTCGCTTGGAGCTGCGACATGGCAGTGCGAGATGGATGATGAGAAGTACCATGTCACACTCATACTCTCTTGGGGCTGTGACCTTGGAGCTGCGAGTGGGAAAGGAAGGATCTGAGCCGCAGGTGAAATTGCTTGAAGGATGCGACATGGGAGTGCGGCTGAAGAAGGAAAGGAAGCTGACCCGCAATAACAAGCGTTTGGGGCTGCGACATGGGTAGTGCGGGTGAGCTGAGCCAAGACCGTCTCGCACCATGGACTCCAAGACCCAACTGAACTGGGTCAGAACCCAGTTTGTCATGGGCTGACGCGGTCCGAACCATTTAGTATAAATACTTTTTAGGGTTTTTTTGCCAAAGGACATCTCATTTTCCCTTAAGTTTTTAGCCACTTATGTGTAAGAGATAACTAAAGAGAGCTTAATCCATCCATTTTATCATCATTACTGTTCATCCATATTCCTCTCCCTATCAACTAATCATGCTTAACTACTCTTCTTGCAAAGGAATCAGAGAGGTCATCATGATTAATGAGAAGTCACCTCATTAGGGTTCTAGATATGTAGGTTAGGGTGCTTAGGGGTTTGATTAAAGTTGCTTAGGACTAGATTTATGTATCTCTGTCTTGCTTAGATGATCTTAATGCTGGGTTTTACATGATCTCTCTAACCCAGATCTTAGGCATTTCATCCATCCAAAGAGGTGTTTGATGAAGCCTGAACCAACTAAGTCAAGAGTCTATTGTTTGATTCACATTAGAATGTTGTCTTGAGCGTAGATGGCATATTGGGATTGGTTTTTAATGCATTCTTTTCATTGTGTCTCTAATGATGATTGGATATGAGCAATGTTTGGTTTAGTGTTTTAATGCTTGAAAAAGATTAAGACTTGTTTAGAATCCTGAGCTGCTTTGATCATTTATCATCATTGTCATTAGCTCCTTAATTAAACCCTGATACACCTTAGCCAACAATCATTTCTAGGACTCTAAGTTCCATCATATTCATATCATCTTAATCATTTGCTGTCTTTGTTTATTGTTTTATTTAACTCTTTAATCTTATTTAATTGCATTTCTGTCACTTGTTTGAAACTAAACCATCTTGTTTTGCTTGGATTAAGATACAAACCTCATAAATTAGTGAACTAAATACCACACCTTGGATTGATAACCTTTGTGCTACAAAAGACAAAGGGATTGATACCTAAAGAGCCTTGAAAACTCTTACTTATCAACTAGCGCCGTTGCCAAAGTGTGGAAGATTTAGCATTAGTCTTTGGTCTTTTCTTGAGATCAAGTGTTTTTGTTTTACTAATAATTTTTTTAGTTCTGTCTTTGCAGTTTCAGGCTTATGAACCACAGGCCTAGAATAAGAAGCAAGAGTTTTCATCCATTAGACCCCTTCATTGACAACATTCAACTGCTTGATAGAAGAGATAGAAAAGCAAGAAAGAGAGCAGAACATCTTCAGCAGCTGGGTATGGATCAGCAAGGGGATCAAGCAGAGCAACAGGCTCATGTTAACCAAAACCAGGCGACCAGAAATGAGCATCAGGCTTTTGTGAACCAAAACATTGCTGCAAGGAATGAGTACCAGGCTCAGGTTAACCAAAACCAAACGGCTAGAAATGAGCATCAGGCTCATGTGAACCAGGAGAACCAACACCATCAAAGGCATCAGCAGCCTCAAGTGAGAAATCCATATTTTGTGGGTGCCAATGACAGATCCAATGCTCACCAGAATAGGCAAGGTATCCAAGCTCCAGCTGTGGAGAACAACAATTTTGAAGTTAAAGCATCACTCCTCAATATAGTGCAGAACTCAAAGTTCCATGGCTTGCCTATGGAGGATCCCCTAGACCACCTTGATAACTTTGACAGGGTCTGCAACTTTACAAAATCAATGGTGTGTCTGAAGATGGTTTCAAGCTGAGACTCTTTCCATTCAGTTTGGGAGACAAAGCACGCCAATGGGAGAAGAATTTTCCTAGGGGTTCTATTCAGACATGGGAGCAATGAAAGTAGGCTTTCCTCTCAAAGTTCTTTTCCACCTCAAAAACTGCAAAGTTAAGGAACCAGATCTCCTCATTCACCCAACACCAAAATGAGACCTTTAGGGAGACTTGTGAGAGATTCAGAAGCTATACAAACTAGTGCCCTCACCATAGATTCGCAGAAGCTTCTCTACTAAGAACTCTTTATAGAGGTACTCTTCCCAAGTTCAGGAACCAACTAGACACTGCATCAAATGAGAATTTCTTAGCAAATGATATCAATACTGCCATAGAACTAGTTGAGAATTTGGCAATGAGTCATGAAGATGAAGAAAACCAGAGAGCTTCCTCTATTGCTTGGAACTCCATTTCTCAACACCACATGAGCAAGAATTGACTTTGATACCCAAAGAGTGGTGCTCACAAAGGTAGATAAAGAAGTCTCTTACCATGTTAAACCCCCATCAGCTGATTTTTGTGGTACTGTTGTTGGAGAGATTGATGACTTCAAAAACTATGAGATGAAATATGTGGGAAGCATTGGTATCCTAGGAGAAGCTCAATCCCTTCCAACTATGGAGAAGAAGAAAGAACCCCAAATCAAACCTGACTTTAAGTATGCAGATGGGGATCCTTTTATTAGGGAGGAAGCTGGCTTGATCTCTTTTTCCCCTATACCAAGTGAGGAAGGGCTGAGCAGTAACAACGGAAATGGTTCAGGATCTAAAGAAAAAATTCCAAAAGGCACCAAACAATCCACCCTTGGATCTTCTTCTTAAACCTTAACTTGACTCTTATTTCCTGGAAGTTTGATAGTGAAGCTGTAGGCTACAATGTTCAATGCAATGGAGGATCAAGACCATTTGCCAAGGTCAGGGCAGTCCTCACACAAGCAATCATAGACAAGGGATCTGATGGTGTTCAGTGACGTCTAGCATCATCTGATGCAGATATTCACTCCTCGTTTGCATAAAAAACACATCAGGTATCATTCCAAACACTTGCAAATGAGCATTTAGAATTTTTCTTTATCTTTTTCATTTCATGTTTGTTTATCCTCTTTCTCATACTTTTATAACACAAGGGACTGTGTTATTTAAGTCTGGGGGAGGGGTTTTGTGTTTACTAATCATGTTTTCTACGTTCTTATTTTCTCTTTTACATCTTGAGTCTCATTTGATCATGCATAGCATCTATTTGCATAGAAAAAAAAAATACAAAATACAAAATCTGAAAAAAATTTCACAAAAAATGTTCATTTAGTTGCATTCACATTTTAGGATTGAGTCTAGAGTTGCGTACTCATATAGGTTGAATCATTTGCATGGGAGTAATGATAGGTTTCTTTGAGAGAGCATCATCTCAAGAGTTTAGTCATGGCTCTAGTTATTAGTTCTTTGATGCTTGCAAGTGATGGAATGTGTGGCATTGTTTAGACCTTGATTGAAACAAGCTTTGAATTGAATTCAGCCTTAGCAAGTGGAACTTTTAACCTGAATTTGAATCATCATGTGATGCTTGTTTAGATGAACTTGTGGATAGTTATACATATTTGAGCTAGAAACTCAATTTACCACTCTTTTCCTTAGCTCAAATAGCTGATTCCATTCATTGGATCAGTTTCCACACCCTGAACCCAACCTTCCTTCAAGCCAAATGTTTGTGAGTATTGAGAGGCCACCTTGGATCAAACTTATCAGAAATTTTTAGGTTTAGAGCGACAAGGGTAAGCCTCATGATGTTTAGTTCCATCATCAAGGAACTAAGAGGTCTTGGCGAGGATTAGGTGTGGGGGAATGGTTTGTTAGTGAGAACTTAAGAAAGAGATGTATGGAAGTGGAGAGTGATGAAAGATAGGGGATGGAAGAGAAAAGAAAATGGATTGGGGTCTACTGTTTAAAGAAAAGGAAGCTCTGGTGTTTTAAAATAAGGAAAAGTCCAGACTCTATGTGAAAAGAAAGAAAGAGAAGAAGCCAAAAAGACTTAAGTGTCTAAAGAGATAAGGAAAGAGGCTGGAAAGTGCTAAGTGAAAGAGAGCTAAGTGTAAAGTTTATACCCCAAGGGCAGTGTTTGTAAATGAAAACTGAATCCACTAGTGAGGAAAAAAATGAGTGAGAAGAGAAGTGTGGGGTTCATGAGAGGGTGGACTAAGTGTGAGAATTTGGGTTAAAGGCATCTTAAGTATTGGGGTTAGATGAGTTCTTGCCCTTGTATACATCAGTTGCTTTTTACCTTTAACCCTCTGCCAAAGTTTGATCATTCAAAGAGAGACCCCTTGAGATGAACTGAACCCACTTAAGCATTGAATGAGACAATTTTGTCTCATAGCCTCATCCCTCAGCCAAACTAGTTCATTTGAATAAGCATCACTTTGATCCACATGGTTATAACTTAATAAATGTTAAAACGCTGAAGGATAAGAATGCTTGTGTGGGTCATGGTTTGAACTTTTTGCATCCAATGTATTCCTTGCATTGCATCTCAGAACTAAGAACTAGGACCATGAGCTTGAATTCTTTTGATGATCAACTCTCTCTCTCTTTAAAGAAATGTGAACTCCCAAACTCCAAACCTCTCTCTCATTTGTTCTGGTTTGCTTGAGGGCAAGCAAAGGATAAGTGTGGAGGAGTTGATATATTCATATCATTGCATGTTTAAGATGCATTTTTTGTCCAAGAGTAGAGTCTCATGCATGCATTTTAGATGGATTCTTCATGTTTTGTCCTTGTTTTAGAGTTTTAGGACTTTGAATTATGATGTGGGTGCAGTGGGCAACACAAGTTTTACCCTAGACAAGCTGCAAGTGCACAGCAAACGCACTAGTACTTATGGATCAAATCCACATGGAATTGTGTGTTGAGGACTTCTAACTGATGCTAAAAACAATCGTAGACCTAATCTGAATAAAAAGGGGGTTTGGTTTGTCGCTAGGTGTTTATAGAATTATTAAGCAGGTCGGGTCGGGTGAAAAGTATATGAAAAACGGCGCTGGGATTATGGTTCATCTTTAGGGTTCATGTTCTAAAACACAAAGAATTTAGGCAAGGATTTTCTATGACTCTGAAACTAGGATAGACACTTGTAAGATTAGCTAACTCTTGTCACCCTAATTCATCTAATCAGTCATTCATGGCAATTAACTCTCGCTCTCATGCCAGAACAAGATCATGCATTTCAGATCGGAATCCATCTCAGCTTACATATCCTCCGTATGTAGCTTTTGTCTCCTACGAGGGTGACATCCATAAGATCCAGTTCAGGCAACCTAGATACAACACTCTTGGGGATCAGATTTAACCTAGGATCGGACTCTGGGTGATCAATCCAGAGTTACCGCTTTCAGATTTGGATGAATGAGCGAATCATCTATAAATCGAAATCCTTTTTCCTACATGGGATCCATTTGGATGGCACCTTTGTATGGCCGCTTTACCCAACTCGGTGACTACTCAGACATGGCTCAGTTAGACATCATCATTGATTTAAAAACTAGAAAGCAGAAAAGTAAAGAAACAAAAGTTGGGTTTTCTGTAGTTGCCAAACTTCTGACGACCTGAATTTATCAAAAAATGTACTTTTGCTCCAAAATTCACTCCAAAACTCCAAGTTTCCTGAAACGCCTTTTAAAACTCCAAAACATGGAAAACACTTATAAAACCTTTAAAACTGAGTGAAAACACCTGCATAAGATTGAAAGTGATCCATAAAAGTGGCCAAAATCAAGTGTCATTAGGTTCAAGTGAGTCCTGCATGTTTTGTTTGTGAATTAGGTGCTTTGGAGGTCATTTGGAATGGAAAAGATAGAACCAGGTGAAGAAATGGTGAAAGAGGGCGAAGAAATGGTGAAAAGAGGCATTGGAGATTATCGGCCAAACTGGTGTACTACAGGAAGGATTTCTCTGTCAAAAACCTTACCGTGGGTAGCAGGACTCGGCCAAAACGTGTACCGCGAGGTACATGCTTATCGCCAAAAGTTCACACTTCAAAGATGCCTTTACCGGAAAGATTTAACATCCAAATCAGTTTCTAGGGTCTTCAGAAAAGATCAATAAGATTGAGTCACGGCTCCAGAACAGTTGGAATCAATAGATTTGGGGCAGTGAACTGAAAGATATGGCCAACAGAAGACGAACCTGTATTGCATCCATTCCAGACTGATCCAATGCACCTCAAATATCACCCAAGACGATGCATTTCCCTTTCGATCCAGGTTCTGGAGCCTTCATCAAGATTTGAGAGCTTTTAGTAATCTTTCCAGAAAGCTTAGAATCATCCCATTTGGAGTGTTGAGTTTGGAGATATTGCAGTCGGGGGACAGAGATGTCCCGCAGCAAGAAACCAAAACCTCCCAAGACGATGCAAAGATCCGTTTACCGGAAGGAGTTTGTCCCGAGTCGTTTGGACTCATATCCCACAAGTTATGCTAGCTCAAGTGCAAGTTTGTCCGAGAAAATGAGAAATATTGCGACATAGCTTTGCGACTGGGCTGACTCGCAGCAAAGAGTGTTTAACTCTGGGAGCAAGCTGCGACTTGAATGATGTGGTTGATGTGAAATCGGAGCAGGATAAGGACTTCCAAAGCTCAAAATATTCTAAGTCCAGAGCAGCCTACAACATGGCAGTGCGAGTGAAGAAGGAGATGAACCATGTTGATAACACAGTATTTGTATCCATTTTCACCATTAATTTCAAATGATTTTTCAATGGTTTTCATCAGTTTTAGGAACTTTTATTATGATTTCTATGTATTTATAGTTTCAAGGCTCTTTTCAGGAAACTTAGGGAAAATAATGGCAAAATGGAAGAAATCCACTTTTTTCATCTTAGAGTCAAACCGTTAAAAGTTTAGCCTCAGATAAAGACTTTCTCACCGTCTGATCCAACTCAAATTTGAAGACAATCATGATGAGACAACTAGCTTTCCATAGCACTTTACATCACAAAGATCCAACAGTGTAATCAAAAGATACATGGAGAACAAGTAGACCTAATTCACCGGCCCTGGAAGACACTCACCCGCGGGAAAACTATATTTTACCTGCCGTGGACCCTGGTGGACCTATGGAAGAGCCACTGTTGTGTGTCTGCGTGAGGGTTGTCAAGTTTCACCCTAAATGAAATCAATAGCCGCATGTGCACAGCTGATCGATTGTAGTACTTAGGTATCGAATCCACAG